GTAACCCCCATCTGCTCTCTTGCAGAATGCTCCATGTGTCCTCTTTGCTGCCCGCCACGCTGCCACTGCTGCCACAGTAAGCACCAACCCACAGCTTCACCCCCTGATACCCCCCCAAGTGCCCCCCCAGCACCGCAGGACTCACGGTTCTCCCCCTCCTCTTCCTCCCCCCCAGAACCTGAAGGATGTCCTGGCCTCCATGATCCCCAAGGAGCAGGCGAGGATCAAAAGCTTCCGCCAGCAGCACGGCAGCACGGCCATCGGGCAGATCACGGTGGATATGGTGAGTGGGGGCACCGGGATGGGGGTCGGGGGGGGCACCAGTTTCTGCCAGCCTGTAACTGTGAGCTCTGCCTTTTCCTCCTCCCTCAGGTGTACGGCGGGATGCGGGGCATGAAGGGGCTGATCTACGAGACCTCAGTGCTGGACCCCGATGAGGTGGGGCTGCCCCCCTCCCCTTCCCCACTCGGGCAGCCATAGGGCAGCGGTGCTGATGCCCGGTCCTGCTGTGTTTTCCCTTCCAGGGGATCCGCTTCCGTGGGTTCAGCATCCCTGAGTGCCAGAAGCTGCTGCCCAAAGCGGCGGGGGGGGAGGAGCCACTGCCTGAGGGGCTCTTCTGGCTGCTGGTGACGGGTGAGGTGCCCACCCCAGAGCAGGTAACGCGCCAGGACCCCCGGGCTGGGGAGAGGGGGGGTTTGTCAGCCCTCTGCTCAATGCCCCTCCCTGCAGGTGAGCTGGGTGTCCCGTGAATGGGCCAAGCGGGCGGCGCTGCCTTCCCACGTGGTGACCATGTTGGACAACTTCCCCACCAACCTGCACCCCATGTCCCAGCTCAGCGCCGCCATCACCGCCCTCAACAGCGAGAGCAAATTCGCACGCGCTTACGCTGAGGGCATCAACCGTGTGAAGTACTGGGAGGTATGGGGGGGGGGGGCGCAGGAGGCGGGGGGCTGCGGGCAGGACCTCGCAGCCCCTTCACTCCATCTCCCCCCATCTATCCCAGTTTGTCTATGAGGACGCCATGGATCTCATTGCCAAACTGCCCTGTGTCGCTGCCAAGATTTACCGCAACCTTTACCGTGAGGGCAGCAGCATCGGCGCCATCGACCCCAACCTGGACTGGTCCCACAACTTCACCAACATGCTGGGTTACACCGACCCGCAGTTCATCGAGCTGATGCGCCTCTACCTCACCATCCACAGGTGCGAGGCTGCACCGCCCAGCGCTGCCTCGGGGCGTGGGATGTGGGATGTGCCCAGGCAGCGCTCAGTGTGGGGCAATGGGAGCGCCGGGACGGGGTGCGGGGCTGCGGGGGCCCTCAGTGGGGTGTGGGGACCTAACGCTGCTCCTCGGCCCCACAGTGACCACGAAGGGGGCAACGTCAGCGCCCACACCAGTCACCTGGTGGGCAGCGCTCTGTCTGACCCCTACCTCGCCTTCGCTGCTGCTATGAATGGGCTGGCCGGGCCCCTGCACGGCCTCGCCAACCAGGTGGGTGTCTGTCCGGCCTGTCTGTTTGTCCATCTGTCCGCCGCCATCTATCCTTATCCATCTGTCTGTCCGCCCGCTGCCATTCTGACCCCCGCCGTGCCCGCAGGAGGTGCTGCTGTGGCTCACAGACCTGCAGAAGGAGCTGGGCCAGGACGTGTCGGATGAGAAGCTGCGGGATTTCATCTGGAACACACTCAATTCGGGCCGGGTGAGTGCTGGGCTGGGGGGGGGTGGGGGGCGAGGGGGGGGGACAGGGGGCAGTTTGGGTGCTGACTGCTCTCCCAGGTGGTGCCGGGCTATGGGCACGCCGTGCTGCGGAAGACGGACCCACGCTACACGTGCCAGAGAGAGTTTGCCCTCAAGCACCTCCCCAAGGACCCCATGTTCAAGCTGGTGGCTCAGCTCTATAAGATCGTCCCCAACGTGCTGCTGGAGCAGGGCAAAGCCAAGAACCCATGGCCCAACGTGGACGCACACAGCGGGGTGCTGCTGCAGGTGAGCTCCTGCTGCCCCACATACCTTTATTGGGGGGGGTCCCGGCCCCCCTGCACTGCCCTGACGTTGCTTTCCCCGCAGTACTACGGCATGAAGGAGATGAAGTACTACACGGTGCTCTTCGGGGTGTCCCGCGCTCTGGGCGTCCTCTCGCAGCTCATCTGGAGCCGGGCGCTGGGATTCCCCCTGGAACGCCCCAAATCCATGAGCACTGCGGGGCTGATGCAGCTCGTGGGCTACAAATCCGGGTAAAAAGGGACGGGGTCAGGGCTGCGCTCGCTGCTCCCCCCGACGCCTCCGGGCCCGGGACGGACTCGGCACTGAACCCCACTCCGGCTGTGGGGGGGCAGCCCTGGGGGCCCCTCCTGCCCTGTGCCCCCTCCTCCCCATAGCACAGGGCCCGGCCCCCTCCTTTGTGGCTCCTGTGCCCCCAGCCCGGCAGCACCACGCACACTGAGCCCCAGCTCCCCGCTGCCGGGGGGGGGGCGGATTTGGGCCTCCCTTTGCAACCACTTCCCCCCCCCCGAGAGGGGTTCAGTCCCAGACTCCAGTCCGTGCCCCCCCCCGGGGGGGATCCAGCCCTTGGGGCAGCTGGTGAAGAATGAATGTTTCAGCCCCCCCCCACCTTGAAAGGCCTCGATACACTCCTCCCCAGCCCGCGCCCCCCGTGTTTGTGTGAATCCCCACGTCTGATGCCCCCGGAGCCAGAGCTGGGCCCCCCCTCCCCGTTGGCCCAGCCCCGGCCCAGCGCAGGCTTTGGGCAGTTCTGTACAAACAACGATAAAATGCAAAATAAATGTTTTTATTAACAAAGCCCAAGCTGCTGCTACCCTCCCCAGCCGCCCCCCGGCACCCTCTGGGTGCTGGACCCAGACCTGGGGCTGCCCCTGTAGGGTGCCTGTAGGTACCCGGCTGGAGCCTGCTGGTTTTGGGGTGCAGACCTCCCCCCCAGCTCCCCTTGCCCCCCTCCCTGCCCCATGGCTGCCCAGTGAGGAGCAGGAGGCCGGGCTCACCCTTGGAAAATGCTCTTTATTGGCATATGTAGAAGTCCTTCCTTGGACAGCAAGGCCACGATCTCCTCCGTGATGGGGATGGAACTGGGGGGGCTGAGTGGGGGAGCCTAGGGCCGGGGGGGTGGCTCAGGGGGCCCCTCATGGCCCCCCCAGTGGGCGTTACGGCCTGCTGGAGCTTGGGTCCTCCAGGCTGAAGGTAAGGGAAGCTCAGGGGGAGCAGGGGGCACCTCAGGCCGGGGCCGTGCTGGTCCCTGGGGCGGCAAGGGGCTAACGGGTTGGGGTAGGTGGGTGGGGGGACAGGGGCCGGCCAGAGCGAGCCCCCCATCCCCCTGCTGTGCGTGTGACTTGTGCAAACTGTGCGACGTCGGGGCTGGCGGTGGGGCGGGCGCACGGCAGCTGCAGGCAAAGGGCGGGCAGCTCTGCCCCAGCCACCGCCTCACTCTGCCCCTTCTCCTTCCCTTTTATTCCTGAAGAGCCAGGGCACGGGGCAGGGGGGGCCCCGGCAGCGAGACCCCCACCAACCACTTGTGTTCCCCAGCAGGATCCGGCCGGGCTCCCCTGCCAGCGAGCACCAACCTTCCTCCTCTCCAGGGCAGGCAGAGCTGACCCGGGAGTTCCTCCACCGCGGGCGCAGGAGCTGGAGCCCTCTGGCCTTGCAGAGTTAAGAGGAACGAAGGGTTTAAAAAAAAAAAAAAAAAGCCCCCCCCCCCCAAAAAAAAAAAAAAAAAACCCTAAAACAAAAACTTAAAACCAAAATCAGCTACAAAATGAGGGAGTCCGGCGCTGGGCCGCGGCTCCTGCCGTGGTGCGATGGGGCCCGGGGGGCTCACAGCAGCCCCCTGCAGGAGCACCGCTTCGTGCCCTCGGGGCTGGGAGGGAATTCCAGGCAACGGCAGCAAAGATGCACTCAAATAAATATTTAAGAGGGGGGCGGGGCTGACCCTGGCACAGTCCGCAGCCGCAGCGCTGCCCTCACGTCTGGTGCACCTCGTGGAACATGAGCTCCCGGGGGATGCGGGTCTCGGGCCCGAAGTTCTTGGCTGCCTGGCGCTCAAAGGCCGCCACCATCTGCTTGACAACCTCGTCGAAGAAGACAGTGGCCAGCTGGGAGTGCAGCAGGGAACGGAACTCGAAGGAGATCTGAGGAGGAGAGCGGTGTGAGAGCCCGGTAGGAGGCGCGGGGCTGCGTCCCCACTGCAGGCATGGAGCTGGGAAGGGCTCACCGAGAAATCCACGGTGCAGGTGCGGGGATAACCGGGGATGCCGGGGCTGAAACGCCAGTTTGTCTCCAGGTGGTTGAAGAGCCGCCCATCCGTGCAGACGGCCTGGGGGGGAGCAGGAGATCAGGGGGCCCGGGGCTGCAGCGGGGCTGGGGCTGCACTGGGGCTGCGCTCACCTTGACGAGGTGCGGGCGGACGAGGGTGACGATGGAGGTGTAGCGCTCCAGGACGGGTGGGAATCCCACCTCCAGCTGGGCCTTGATGTGCCCCGTCCGCTTGGAGACCACCACCGACTTCTTGCACCAGGGCACGAAGGTTTTGTAGTCATCCACGTTGGAGACCACGTCGTACATCTCTTGCATGGAGTACCTGCGGGCAGAGCGGGCGCTGCAGAGCGGAACGTGGGATCCCAGCGTCGGCTCTGGGGACACCACACCTACCCGATGATGCGCCGCTCCGAGTACTCCTTGCGTTTGTTGGTTAGGGACCCCGCGAGGTTGAGGAAGGAGCGGGTGGGCGCTCGCTGTGGGTCCCACTCGGTGCTGATCGCTGGGCGGCCGAACCCGGGGCCACACAGCGCTGCGTGTCTGCACAGGAGAGAGGTGTGGGCAGAGGAACGGGCGCGGGGCTGCCCCACGGCTCTGCTGGGCATCCCCTCCTCAGCCCCCGGCTGGGGCTGCCCGCGGCCATCCTGAGCTGGGGGTAACCATGCGGTGCGTGGCGGAGCCGCCCCATCCATCCCGCCCCGGGGCTGCGGGCAGCAGGGAGAGGCCAGGAAAATCCAAGCGCAGCTGTGCCAGCGCTGCTGTTGCATAAGAGGAGGAAGGCAGAGGGAAACCTGACCTCGGGGACACCTAATCCAGACCGGCAGAGTGAGGACAACCGCCCACGGCCCCTCCCCAGCTCCGCGGGGCCGGGGCGGCTCGGGGCCCAGCCGAGCCCCAGCGTTCACCCTCCTCCACCGCCCGCCGCGCTCAGGGCCGAGCGGACAGCGCTCCCCGCCGGGAGGGAAGCAGCGACCCTCCGCGGCCCCGGGACGCGCGGTCCTCCCGCAGCCTCGCGTCACCCGGCCGAGGTGACAGCGCGGCCCGCCACTGCCGTTTGTCACCGCCGCCCCCGCGGCAGCCCCGGCCGGACGCGCTCCATCGCCGCGGGTGTTTTAACGGCGCTCCTCCGGGACCGGCGGCCGCGGGCGGAAAGGCGCCATGCCGGCAACCGCCAGCGGGAGCCCCGGGGCGGCGACGGGCGGAGCCCAGGACCGGCCGTGCCCCCATCCCGGCGCGGAGCCGCTGGCTGCCGGCCGCGTCCCGGGCGCAGAGGTCAGCCGGGACCGCCGACTCCCCGCGCGGCTCCCGCCGTCCCGGGCGCGGCGGCCCGCGTTCCCCCGCGTTCCGCCCCGCTCCGCCCCGCAGCGCGCGCCGTTCGCCCCCCGCGGAGCCGCGCCCGGTGACCTCTGGGCCCGCGCCGAGGCCCGCCCGGCCCCGTCCGCCCCGCGGCCCCCGCCCGGCCCCGCCGCTCACCTCCCGGGAGGCGCCGCCACCGCCCGCAGCCGCTGCCGCGCCCCGAGCTGGAGGGCCCCGCGGAGCCGCCGGGCCGCCATGACCGGGGCCGGGACGCGGCTCCGCTGCCCTCAGCCCGGCGCCGCCGTGACCTTTCACCCCGCGCGTGACGTCACCGCGTCACCATAGAGCCCGCGCGCGTCACGGCCCGGGGGGGCGGGGCCGGGCGGTGTCCGCGCGCGGCGCACGCCGGGAGCGGTAGGCCGCGTCGCGCGAGGCACGCCGGGAGTTGTAGTCCCGCCCGGTTCGCTCCTTTCCGCGCGTCCCCTCGGGCCGGGGCTCCGCGCGCCGCCGCCCCTCCGTGCGGCATCGCGGCCGAGCGCTCGCGGCTCCCTTGTTTCGCGTCCCCGGTTCTGTCCCGTCGCACCGAAGCAAAAGCCGCCCCCCGCGCAGCTCCGGTGCGCACGGCCGGGGAAACGCGCGGAGCCGGGCTCCGCATCCCCGCGCCGCCCGCGTGGCGCTGTGAAGGCGTCGCTTCGCTCGGCGCCGTGCGGGGCCGCAGCGCTCGTGGCGCCCGGGCGGTTCGACGGCGGGGCTCCCGGCCCGTCGCGGAGCCTCAGTAACGCGGCGCGGTGCTCGGCCGCTGCCTCGGCGTCTCCCCGGCCGGCAGGCGGTGGAGCTCCGCGCTGGCAGCCCCGGGGCGCGGAGCGGAGTCCAGCCGGAGGCGGGCGGGGCGCGGGACGGGTGGCGGGGAGCCCCGGGAAGGGGAACCGAAGGAAGCGGCCCGGGCTCCGCGCCCGGCGGTGGCGGCTCCGGACCCGCACGTGCCGGGCGCCCCCCGGTGCCCCGCTCCCCGGCCGCGCCGCCCCGTCCCCGCCGGCACCTCGCCGCCCCCGCCCGATGGGGCGACGACCCCCGCGGCCCGGCCCCGCCCCGCCGCTCCGGTGCTGGCGGTGACGACGGCCGGCGGCGGCGCTGCGGCCCGGCGGTGTCGGCCGCTCCCCGGCGGTGGGCGGGCCCAGGCGCTCCCCGCCCCGCAGCCGCCCGAGCGGAGCCGCCGCGGCCGGAGCCCGATGCCGGGAGCTGAGCGCTGAGCGCGGCCCCGAGATGGGGATTCTCAGCATCACGGACCAGGTACGGCCGCCGCGTCCGCCCCGCCGAGCCCGCGGCGCGCCCGGCGCCGCCGCTACGCCAGGCCGGGGATGCGCGGCCTACCGCGCTGCGCTCCGCGCCGGGCCGCCGCCCCAGGCCGCGGGGCCTCCCGCCGGACCGCGACCCGCCGCTGGGCCC